GCAGCGGACTTCGGCATCTTGCAAAGCCTCTGCAAGCTCTTGCTCCCACTCAATGTCTCCTTGATGTTGCTTCACCAGCAATCGCTGGCCCATCGCTTCGGCATCTGCTCGTTTGAAGGCAAGTGTCTGGTCATGGTTTCGTGACTCGTCGGTACTGATGTCCGCCACGCTCAGGTACGTAGAGGCTGGTACCCGGCCATAAATTGTTTGGCACCAGCACTTGCCAGGGGTCTCTGGGTTGTTCGCATGCCGACCCAAACCAGACGCAGCGTCTGTCAAGAATACACAGGCTAGTGAAAATGCATCCTTGTGAGCAGCGCTTGAAACTGCTTTGTCCCAGAGGTCACTGTACTTGCCCGGAAACGATACAATGCAGTCAGCTGCACCACGGCTGATGTGTCCTGGGAAGGCAACTCGTGTGGAAGCCAAGCCAAACCCTGACAGTTCTGCGAGCTTCTGCAAAGTCTCCAGATTCATTGGTGTGCTGCCAACCATGCCACTGAGAACGATCACGTTGAAGACTTGGAAAGACACGTCAACAGTCACTACCGTCCGCGGGAGATGAAATTCCTGAGCGAACGCGAACAGGCCAACCAAACTCAAAGCTGGGCCAAGCGGAACCATGCAAGCGTTTGCATACAGGAGGCATGCCATCCACCAAACGGACTGATCTCCTCTTGCTTGCAGCATAGCTCTTCTTGCTGCACGGCACAAGGCCCAACATTGAATCCCCACAACTGCGAAACAGCACATAAGACAAATGTAGAAACATGCGTAGTGAACCCACAGGGCCGGAGGAAGTGAACATACACCGATTGCTGAGAGAATACTACAGCACCGGGCTGTCCGATGCCAGCCGAGAGCTCGGAGCTTGAGGATGGTCATGTACACCTGCAGCACATTGCATAGGACTTCCCAGAGAAGCATGACAATGGCGGGCACATTGTAACTTTTGCTAGTCAGTATTAGCACGTGCTCCATGCTTCCATCGCACAGGGGCAGCGCGAGACAACACAGCGTGATCAAGCTCCACTTGTGCAGGTGGTTGTTGACGGAGAACCTGTCCATCTTGTGAATAAACACGTAGAGCCCAAAGCCGGTTACGAGGGGCCGAAGAAAAGCATCGCAGACCTTGCTCACATCAACAGCTGCCTCGTAGCAAGGGCAGCAAGAACTCGTACAGCCGTTTAAACATATACTGTGCGTGAATGGAAGGCTGCCCGCGATGCGTGCCAAAGTGTACAAGGCCAGCACGACTTTCGCTCGCCAACGCCATCTGGGCTGCTGTTGCAGAGCCTCCAAATCCTTCCTCAGGTCTGCCAGAGTGCATCTTCTCCTTGAGTCCGGCACAAACGCCTCGCCACTTTGGGCCTGGACCAGCATCTGTGCAGCTTGCTCATTGCCGTGTCTTGAAGCTAGCTCCACACCTTCGTTCTTCGAAGAGTGGGCGGCGGGCATGGCTTTGGCGCAGCTGGAGGAGGTCCTACAGCCACTTTCTCCTTGAAGTTGTCTATCTCCCTCTCAGAAAAAGCGATTGCAGACGAAGCCTATAGCTGCTCCAACTTCAAAGATATGAGGCGGCTTGCAAGCAACTTGTGATCCTTTGAGCTCTTCAAATCCCGAACTCGCATCTAGAGCGGCCGAGGTCAATCTCTCAACTCCAGATCCTGATCCCCATAAGCACCAAAGCTCCAAGTTTCAACATGCAAAGTAATGTAGGGCCCTTAATCATTAGAATAGGGTTTTGGGGTCCTTTATAGTATACGAAAAAAGGAGCCCCCAACACAATGTAGGTAATTCTTGAGGCCCCTATATATTAACAATAACGAGCAGACCCTACACGGCTCACTTCTCCGAATCTCAGAGCTTCCCGTGCACAGCTCTGATTCGGGTGCATGGCTTTGGGTGTCGGATTCCGGGAACTACGGGATTTAGCGCCTAAACCATGTAGGGCCGAAGGCAATCCTAAAAGTGCTGTTAAACCCTAAACCCTAAAGCTAATAAGCCCTAAGCACCTAAACCCTAAACCCAGGAAGCACCGAAAACATGGAGTGCAAAGGCAACTCGGGGTCTCGACACGGATCAATTGTGTAAGTCGTTAAGGGGCAGCCTGGAAATAGCAGCCAGGGCCAAGCATATCATGGCCTGCAGCACGCTTGGTGGGTTGGGATTTGGTCTGTGGCTACGCCGGCGTTCAAGGTGTCGGGTTTAGGCATGAATTAGGCTTCATTGTCAAGACCTAAGCACCGAAACCCGCTGAACCCTCCTAAACCCTTCGAGTGAAGCCCGCAGACCCCAAAACAGCCCAAGCCCGACGAAACCCTCTTTCTTAAAACCTATGCAAACGTAGTGAACCCTCCTAAACTCTTCTACTTAAGCCACCCCCAAGCCAGCCCCCAACTCCATCAGACCCCCCTGTTCCCTTCTAAATCGTAAAGTAGTCACAGCCAAAAACCACAAACAATGAACGACACCCCCTTCGCGGTGGCAAACGCGCCACCTTCCTTGTTGTTGTTGTTCTTGTTGTCAAGATGTAACACTTCTGGCAC